CGGGAACTGTACATTTTCTGGGATAAAAAGGCTATGCGTTATTCTGATGTATGAACTATATTATTGTAAAGTTTCATTAAAATCCATGCAGTAATTTTTACGTGAAAGAGTAACAAACATTCATACATCTATACCTACGTCCAGACATCCATACATCCTCACAAACTTTCGTATTTATAATATTAGTAATATAGTAAGTAATAGCTATATGAAATGCTATTTTAAAAGTTCTTAGTATAATCATAAATGCGAAACAATATTTGTTGATTTATTTGCCAGATTACTGGAAATGTCTTGTCTAGTTTTTGTAAATCTTGATATGTATTATATGGGTAGTATAAAGTTTTGTTGAAACTCAATACAAAAATAATGTAATGTAATGTACTCAAAAATAAAACGTTTGAAATACATTTTAAAAATCTATTACGGTAAAATACTTTGAAATTGAGTATGTACTATTCGTCAAAAGTATATTTTATATGTGCACTAGCGACTTACCCTCGCTTCGCTCGGGTTCGGCCCTGGCTTGATTCTCCATACAAACTTTCATCCCCATTTTCACCCCTTTAAGGGATGATTTCCGGGATAAAAAGTATCCTATGTCCTTCCCAGGGTCTCAAACTATCTTCTTACCAAATTTCATCTAAATCGGTTCAGCAGATCCAGAGATTGTCCCCTACAACGTCACAAACTCACAAACTTTACCTCATTATAATATTACTATAGATTAGTATTAGTATAGATTATATTATGTGATATTTATTTATGTAGGCGAAAGGAATACATATTTTCAAGGCGTAAAGTTATCTTGTACCTAGAGATGGTATCACTGTATTCGAAAGTGAACTTGAATGTTTACAATGTAAGAGCATTTACTAAAACAAGTATCAATTAATAATTCAAAAAACCCCCGACCATCTTGGATCGATTTTCATGAAACGTAGCGAAGAACACTCCCGATTAATTCAAGTTTCAAACAAAAAAAACAAAATCAAAATCGGTTGATCCGTTCGGGAGCTACGATGCCACTGACAGACACACACACACACACACACACACACACAGACACGTCACGTTTCTTGTATTATTATATAAATATGGAAATTTATTTTATTTGTAATAAAAATTAAGGTATTCATATACATTTGTCAGTACGAATAACCAATAAAATAGGTGTAACTCAACAAAGATTAGTATTTATGCAGTATATCCGCAGTTTGTGCACAGGCGTGGCGGTAGGCGTGCGTAAATAAAGAAACCTTGCGGACTAAGGTACATGTTATAAAAACACGATCACTATATATCTGTCTCAATTGATCTATAACAGATTAGATGTCAATTATTTAATGAAATATTAATGTGATATTGATCTGCGCGTTAAACGTGCTATGCCCTTTTTTGTATTATCGCTAGATACCAAACTAATACTTGTATTGTTTAGAATGCTATTTTATCATTGCAAACAGAAGCTTCGTAATTTAAGTTGATTTTTTTCATTTAATGCTACTTCATCTTGTGGTAGACAAATTATTATCAACGCTGATTTTCGTTCCATTCCATACTTAGATATGGGAGAAGCAGATCTACTACTCTACATTCAGGGGAAATGACGGATTTAAGGTTTGTTATTAAATTACTTTGCTTTAATAATAAAAAAAAGATATATAAAAGACTAGCACTTCCCGCGGCTCCGCCCGCATTCAGATGATCAAAAACGAAATTCTTAAGTTTTACATATTAGTATACTCTTACATTGCAGTTTTTGTATTTTTTCTCAGAAATGAGACATTTTCCCGCTGTAAAAAGTATCCTATATGTTGACCCGAATAACCAGCTATCACCATACCAAATTTCATCAAAATCCCTCCAGTGGTTTTTCTGTGATGCGGTAACAGACAGACAGACAGACAGAGATAGACAGACAGACAGACAAAAATTCTAAAAACTATAAATTCGGCCTCTGTATCAATAATAATGTTTATTTAAATAAGAATTTCCAAGAAAAATTTAATGTACAGATTCGGCTTAGTTACAATTTTATTATATGTATAGATATATACAAAGAGCTCTGGCACATTTAACTTGATATTTTAGATACGGTTTGTTTAACATAACAATAATTCATTAAATTTCACAGTGTAACCTACAATACTCCTTCAACCTATTAAATTTTAAAGATACCCTTCTAAGAATCCAGTAGGTACTCCTGAAAGTCCAAACCAGGTGTGATATCTACGTATTAATAAAATCTGGGCGCGGCCAGGTGCGACAACCTGTTTAACTTCAATCCTTGATAATATTCCCATATCAAGTGCCTAGAGCAAACAGTTAATATTGGTTTTTATAGATTATTAATAGGTAAATATTGGTGGGAGTTCAATACACCCAAAAAACCAAATATTTGATAATAGCATGAAATTATTCGGTGGGACGTGAGCCTACTCGTGCGCGCGGTGGCGTATCATTTAACTCCACTGTAAGTGGTAGGTATTACAAGAGGAAAATCGACATAGATTCCATGTGCTTTGGCTATAAAAAATCTAATATTTATAATATTTTCATATATAATACTATAAACGAAAATTATATTATATATTTTATATTCTTTTAATGATTTTTTATAAAAGTATTTGGAAGTACCTATATATTATTTGGAATCGGTTCAATAGTTTCATAGATTTTAAAAATTGTTATTCAATATATACTTTTTATGTGCAATTAATTTTTAATTCATTTTGTTTATTATTGAATTAATTTTGCTATGGAAATAATTCTATGAATTAACTTAAAAATAAATAAATTATTGTTATCAAGGCGTCTAACAAGTAACTGAACATTACCTTCATCTTTCAGATACCTAAATAAGTAGGTAAACTGAAATCTATTTAAATGAATATGAAAATAAAATGTCCAGAATCCAGATCTTAGCAATATCTGTCTCTCAGACCAATAAAATACTTTTTATTGGTCTGAGATCTGTCTATCGAAAGACACGCGAACTCAACTTCCTATAACTTTAATGCCGTAACAAATACTTATTTAATTTTAAAATAGTTATATCGTAAGTAATATAAAAGCAACCCAGGTGGATCCGTCCTTGCGTCAACAAACGAACAAAGCTTTAGTCCACGCGCTAATTTATTCAACACAGCGATTGATGAAGTATAAAATTTCTTAGTACCATCTCACTCACAATGGAATTATGATAATTTATCGGTTGGCTTGTGCCGGCCGAGTGTGTGGGAACGCGCGCGGCACGGGCTTTCCCACGACAGCCCGGCGCGAGGAAGAATGTCTGCTTCTGTATAGAATTAACTGCTACTTACGACGTTTTTCCTTACAACAAAAATCAAGACACAGTATCAAAACGTCTTAAGTGCTTCGCTCGATAGTTCACGGTAGTTTGCGCCTGTCAAAAAGACCCGTTTTGCCACTTAGGACCTTTCAAAGTCTAAACACGTAAGACAGAATTGGAGTAAGTAGCGTCATGGCAGTTTCGACCGCACAATGGGTCGGTGTCGAGTCGAGTAGCGGTGCTGGGAACAAACTCACACCTCTGCATCGATAAAACGACGTTATTGTTTTTGTGACTAATTAGAACGGATTAGTCTCTTGATTACACGATACATAGCAATTAGTAAACGTCAATCAATGTATCTTTGATAAATAATTTAGAAATTAGTTGAAAAAAAAATTGATATATGTTTTTTATTTGCTCTATAGTAAGAAATATAAAATTTAAATAAATACACTGTTTATAAAATTATACAATAATTAATATAAGTATAAATTACCGCGAATTTGTTTTTTATTTCATAATAAACCTATGGTAGTTTAATCTTAATTTATAAGTTGAAGTGAAAACTAAAGGCTTTCAAATTGTTGAAAACATACAAGTAACATGTTTTAAACTGATAATTCTATGTCCAAGCAGTAAAAAGTTTGTATAGCAATTTCTATCCGTCTATATGACCGACGATAACACGCCGCGTGTCGCGGGACCTGTAAGGTGTAGGGTTGCAACATTATTATAAATAATAATAATCTAGTTATTTCTTTTTTTATTAATTATACTGATATAATATGTAAATTGAAATTTTCATCTTATTTTACTCACATTAGGTACTTACCACATAATTAAAAAAAATGTACACTATTATTAATTAATATTTTTTCATATTTTTATATAACTTAAAGATAAATATTAGTAAACGCTTAGAATTTTTACTAATATCCTAAGTTCGCTATTTTTTTTTCAGAGTGACAGTGATTTAATAAGTTGCCACGAGTCGTAAGGGGGAACATAGTTTGACGTCATTACATCATTGTCTCACTTCTAGGGGAGCGCCTTACGACGTCTGCAGCTTTGTAGCACCCTTCGGTACGCGTGGGAACGTGATTACCAGGTGCCATCAGCTGACTCCCCTGAAGAAAGACTTACAGCTGTTCATTTAGAGTAGTATACTGAGTCCATAATATTAAGAATATAATGATTTATACATCTACATATTTAAAGCTTTTCATATTATTTTTATATAGTTAATCCGCTACAAAATAGAGAAACTATGTATGACATGACAGTTTCATATAATATTTAAATTAATACAATATTATCTACGTTAGTCGTAAAGTATTAATAATAACAGAATATAATAAATTATTATATTTATTTTAAATTAATTACAATACACATAAATAAATCTAACTAAAGATAAAAAATGGTAGTATTCTTTAGATAAAAAGTAATTATGCATATTTGTTTAATTTCACATTATTTTATCATGTAAATGATAAAAACTTAAATTGTAATTTGTAATGTATTTAAATTTACTTTCCGTAAACCTAAACCATAGTAAATATAAAGAAAGAAAAATAATAAGTGTGTGCCACCCCTATTTTTATCACGGGCGCTTTGCCACAATCGGTGTAGGGCGCATAAAAGGAGAGAGGCGAGCGTCGCGCGCGCCATTCGCTCACAAACCGTCGCGAGAGCAACAACAATGATCCTTCCAACTCGTACCATGTCCCCGCCTCATGGGGCTTTCCATCCTCCGTCTCACGCACACCCTGACGAGGAACCCGTCTCCCGCACTTATCAGTACAGAAAAGTTATGAAGCCGATGCTTGAAAGAAAGCGACGTGCTCGCATCAATCGGTGTCTTGACGAATTAAAAGATCTCATGGTGACTGCTCTTCAAGCTGAAGGTGAAAATGTGTCAAAGTTAGAAAAGGCTGATATATTGGAGCTCACAGTGCGTCACCTACACAGCCTTAAGCGGAAGGGCCAGCTCGTCTTGAAACCTGAGATGTCATATGCGGAACGTTTCCGCGCCGGATTTGCGCAGTGTGCTACGGAAGTGTCACAGTTTATCACGAACGCTACTGTAGCGGCTAATGCGATGCATCGACAGGGTCCAGTGGATCCGCAAGCCGGTGCCAGACTCTTAAACCACTTGAGCAATTGTATAAGGAGGCTGGAGACTCCACCAGTTGTCCAGCCTCAATTAATTGCATCTAATGGTGTGGCGAGGCCCACGCCACTTCAGGCGATACCACAGACGGCACAGGCTCCTCAAGTTCTTCAAAGAACTTCGTTGGTGGAACGAGGGGTTAAGAGGCAAGCTGAGGAGCTGATCGATGTGGAGGCGATTAGTACTAAGAGGGCCTACGCGCCGCCCTCGCCGCCGCACAGCCCCGCCTCCGAAACAGACTCCGCCCAGTCGATGTGGCGGCCGTGGTGACCCGCCGCCACCATGATCTCTGCTGAACCAGGATTGTGACCCCAGTGTGATAGTTACGAATGTTTTGTTGTTTGATACCGTTAACGTTCCTAGAACCGATGTGTGTTAGAAACTATGCATGAGCTCGCTTTGCTTGTTAAAGTTTGTTTTTAATTTAATAAAATAAGTTTTTGTTTTTTACGAGTTAACTGTTATTTTTGCATTCCTAACTTCGTCTTCCGCGTCGGTCATGCATTTACTTGTTAAAGACATAAGTACCATAGTGTAGAGTAGCACCTAAGTTATTACTGTGATACCTATTTGTAGCCTACAATCGAGTAGATTTTTATTAGGTCTATGTAAAGACATAAGCTTTTTATTAAAATCGCTATAATAGTGAATGGTAAGATAATAAAAAAGTTGTTCAATATCCTACTTGTTTTTATTAAATCCCGCTATGAACCTGTAGATCTATTTTAGTATGATTTAAATAATTTTAAGTTTTAAAAAACAGGAAATTCGATTTCAAAGCCAATTAAATCCGATACTAATTCAAGATCTCACGTTACAACGCCAACTAAACTGGAAAGCGTGTGAACGTTTTGCTAATATGTATACCTATACTTTATATCTAAATAAAACATTGCCAAATCCTAAATGCGATAACATTAATTTATGAGCCCTTATAAATATTTATATTAGATAAAAAACTTGAATATAAATATAAAATAGATCTCAAGAGATAGGAATTATACGCTGTTTTATATTCAACAAACAATAAAAGTGTAATAATAAAATATTCAAAAGTGACTCGGGTAAATGTCAGTTCTCACGCTGTCCGACTATCGCGAACATCAGCCGTTACGAACGGTTCTTTGAGACCTGAGATAGCTTATTTTGAAATAAATATAGATGGACAAATCGAAACAAAAACTTGGTATCCATGTGAATGTATTATTATATATATTTTTTAGTAGATGGATTATTAACTCTTTAAAAATCTATATTAAAATCAAAATTGTGTACAGATTATATAAAAGGAAAACCATGTTTCCAACATTAGAAGCATTTTTATCCAAAAATATACTTCATAGTCAAGTAGATATCAAAACACGAATAAAAATGTACAGGGGAAAATTTTGCAAAGTACACGTATATACTATATAGAGTAGTATATCGTGGTATAGAAGTTAAGTCTAGATACTCTTAAAAGTTATCTAAATTTAGAGAGAAGCATAGAAAAAGAAGACTATAAAAATCATAAAATGTATGTAATATGTACATATACGAGTATCATCAGTACTAAATGAAGCGAAATGATCATGACATTTATGTATGTAAGTTACCCACTAATTAAATCAGTTGAACTGCCTTACAATTATAAAAAGGCATTTATTATCTCAGTATAACATTGTATTAAATAACATAACAATACACAATTGTAGCATTGTTCCATATAGAAACAATAACAATATCGTATTCAGGAAAACTATAAATTTTTATTTACATTTTCTACTACATAATATATATTTACTTAATATATAATACATACTGCGTAACTATTTGTTTTAAACCTCTACTTTATTTATGAAGCGACTGTAATTAAAAAGCGATTGGCGATTATTATTTAGTGTTGGGTGTGGTGCCGAGGTCGGCCCTAGCTACGTCGACCAGTTTTGGTCCATTGTAGAAAGAATTATATTAATATGTACTTAGTAATCCAAATTTCGAATTATTTCAATACATTCTAATACTTTATAAAACGTGCATAAAGAGTTAAGAATAAAATCATGATCACGATAAAAATATGTATATATATATATATATATATATATATATATATATATATATATGTTTCGGTGATTATTGTACTATTACAAGTATTAAATAAATATGAACCACGACTAACGAGGTAAATCTACAAAAATTGCAAGCAACGGTATCAATACAGCAATTACTTGTTATTGGTGTAATAACCATATTTATTTGCTGTGGTAATGGCTGCAATAAACAAAACTTTGAAAGTTAAATACTTAAAAAAAAATTGCCCATTATTTTTTTCGTTCTGGATCTTTTATTGCAAGTCGCACGCTAGTGTATATTATATTTGACTCAAACAATCGGCGATACGTTTCTTGCGCTGCAATCAAGGAAATAAAATTGGCTTTTTGTGTACAATCTATGCATATAATAAAATTGTAACTAAGCCGAATCTGTACATTAAATATTTTTTGGAAAATCTTATTGAAATAGACATTTTTATCAATACGGAGGCCGAATCTATAGTTTTTAGAATTTTTGTCTGTCTGTCTGTTACCCCATCACAGAAAAACCACTGGAGGGATTTTGATGATATTTACTACGGTGATAGCTGGTTATCCGGGTCAACATATAGGATACTTTTTACCGCGGGAAAATGTCTCATTTCTGAGAAAAAATAAAAAAACTGGAATGTAAGAGTATACTAATATGTAAAACCTAAGAATTTGGTTTTTGGTCATCTGAACGCGGGCGGAGCCGCGGGCAATGCTAGTTATTTATAAAAGTGTAAGCTTATTTGGTTGTGCCTACTGTCACAGAATTCTTTTTTAATTGCATACGGGTTCTAATTTTTATATCATAAGTATATGAATGATCCTTAGTCTTTAAGCTTCAATGAAATAGAGCAGTAGGTATCCAACAAAAGAATTTTATATATAAGCAAATGTAGTTAAACATTACTCTTTAAAATTTTGGAACGTGGTTTTTAAGTTATTATCAATATTTTAATTATAATTAGACGCAAAATAAATTTCTGCAAAATAAACGATAACCTTCTTTTTCTAGCTCGGATTTTTCCGCACTTCCAGTATCTCTGTAGAGCGTGAGCTTGTGCTTATTTCTAAATATCTGTTAATTCTCTCCAGAGCATTTTAAACTATTTTCCAAACCGTATATTAGGCCGACTGGTAAGCAAGTTCACAGCCGCTTTACATCATATCGATACTTAAACATCTATCAAACATTTTAAAGCAATGATTACTACCTTCCATGCGCGAGCACCCAGAAATTAGCCCGCCATTCCAATTTAGTATCGTTGCGTGCGCGGCCGTGGGAACCACAGCACAGTGAAAACTGTTCGGACAGCAATTTGAATTTAGTTATGGTACGATTTAGTGTAACAAAATCTTACGAGATATATATCTTTAATAATATCATTTTAAATTGCGCTTCTAAGATCGTAACAAAATAGAAAAAAAAAAACAAAAACAATAGATATTTTTTTTTGGTTTTCTTTCAGTGAGAATACGCCATTAGTTTCTCTTTTATTTAAATTGAGGCGCGAAACTAATATGAGCTAAGTAATTTATCAATTCATTTCGTTGGGAATCAAACCCGTGACGGATGACGATTGTCAAGAAAATCGGTCAAGTAAGGGTTCTGCGTTACCACATCATATACCAATAAAATATTTCTTTATTTCGTATAGTGGATTGGCTGGTTTTTATCATTTCTTGTTTTTCTTTAGAGTTCGCACTGTAAGCACACCAAGTTTGACGCTTGAATCACCGTTTTCAACAAAACAAAGCAAGAAGGTAATATTACTAGTTGTTTAAAGTAAAATAAATCAAAAATACTTGCTTTTTGTAGAGAAGTCTGAACAAGAAGTGGATGCATATTTACATTTAGAGGCCACTTTTTGTTAAGTAAATATATGTTTCATTTTGATTAAAATTGAAATGAAAAAGCTTACCAAATAAGCTTTTTCTGTGAAGTCTTCTTAAAGTTAGTTTAATATTGCAAATATAGCAGGTGATTTGCCATATATTCATATAGGTACTATGTAAGTAGTAAATACTTACGCCAATTTAAATTATTATTATAACAATTACTTAGTAAACAAACTGACCAATTAATTGAAGAAAATAGTGCAAATTGATATTATTACTAGAGTTCGTAGTTGTTTATTTTTAAAAAGAATTCAACACTAGAGAAATTCTTAGTAATAATAGAACATTTTCCTTGTCTCAATCGTCAATGCGGTAACACTTTTTGCTTTTAATTTACTGTATAGAATGAACATTACTTACATTTTTTTAGAGTATAAATCATGATGTTATACTTGAAATACCTATAACGTATATATTATAATTAAATCTATACATATAATAAAATTCTAACTAAGTCAAATCTGTACATTAAATATTATTTGGAAAATCTTATTGAAATAGACATTATTATCGATACAGAGTCCGAATCTATAGTTTTTAGAATTTTTGTCTGTCTGTCTGTTACCGCATCACGAGAAAACCACTGGACAGATTTTGATAAAATTTGGTATGATGATAGCTGGTTATCCGGATCAACATATAGGCTAATTTTTACCGCGGGAAAATATGTCATTTCTGAGAAAAAATACAAAAACACAAAAACTGTATTGTAAGAGTATACTAATATGTTAAACCTAAGAATTAGGTTTTTGGTCATCTGAACGCGGGCGGAGCCGCGGGCAATGCTAGTAATAATATATATTTATCTAGAAGCTTAAGTCTTGATATACGACGGTTTTAATCTCGAGCTTTATGGTCTCAATGACATGGACCAAAGAAATTAATCCTTAAAAAAACGGTTAAGCTGGACGATTTTTATCCCGGTTAGTGCTTTTGTGGGTTTTTAAAAAATGTTCCAAATAGTTATAAAATAACATTAAAATATATAATGCAGTAAATCTAAGTACCTACGCGGTAAATTATAAAGATTAGATTTAGTTAAAAAGCCTTCTAAATTTATAACTTTCTATAAAAAAAATTTGCCACCTTCAAAAAGGAGAAGGTACTTATTACAGACTTATTACACCTCTATACTTTTTTGTGCGTATTTTACGCGTTATCTTTGTCAATTGTGAACCGATTTTCTTCATTCTTTTGATTTTAACACAAATTCCTGGAAAAAATTCTAATCAAATATAAACTAAAAGCAAAAATATATTAATCACCGTCGCTCTTGCCGATTTCAACAAGTACTTCTAATAGGAAAAA